TCCTCGGCAATCGCCGCCGCCTCGCTCATCAATCTTCTGGGCCGTCAAAGGGCCCTCGTCTGGGGTGCGCCAGTGGCTGACGGAAGCGCCGCCTCGGCATGGATGGCAAGTTTGCGCGCCAGCCCGCGTACGACGAGACAGAGATGGGTACCATTGGTCATACCGCCAAGCCAAATCATGACCGCGAGGCCGAGCTTGACGGGCCGGTCGATCGATTTTGAGGGTTCGGAGAAGACGGGAAGAGCGAGAGGAGAACAACGTAATTATAATGCCTAATGTCGGCGAAACACGCTGATTTGAGAACGGGAGGGTGGTTTCAAAGACACACGCTGTACTTGCAATAATTTTCGTCGTGCAATATACAAACGAGTACACGCCCCAGATCGCCTAGCACTTGAGTGAAATGCCTTTCCGGAGTTCCGACTCGCGAATCTCAAACATGACCTGAATACCCACGAACAGCGCCCCGCATGCCGTGACGAGGAAGAGGAGCCCTGGTAAGCGTCAGCTCGAAGGGAATGAACAAATAGGAGGAGGAGGAGGAGGAGGAGGAGGAGAGGAGGAGACGGGAAAAACGCACCGGACCAGTCATGCAGGATCTGATACAGAATCGCCTGCAGCCCATCCAGCCCAACGGCGAAACCGACGAGGTTGGCCATGATCATCATGATCACGTTGGCCACGGCACCGGCGCCGCTGAGCATGCGGTACTGCTTGGCCGTGTACTTTTTGGCCGGGAACAGGAAGCGGGCGATGACCTCGGGCATCATGAACAGCACAATGAGCCAGCCCCAGATGAGCAGGCGTAGACGAATGTCGTGCCACAGCGCGACAAAGGTGAAGACGAGGAGAAGGGTCGTGACGGAGCGGACGGAGCGGCGCCAGCCGCCGGCAAAGTCGGCACCGCCGAGGGGCACGTAGATGTAGCGGATGAGCCAGCGGTTATAGGAGCGGTGCCATGCTTTCCAGAAAGACCTTGTGGAGAAGTTATTGGAGACGCAGCGGATCATGTTCTCGGGAGGGTCGACGCCGTCGAGCAGGGCCCAGAGACGGAAGAGGCGCCAGGGCAGGAGGAGTTTAAGCCAGATAAGGTGAAGGTTGAAGAAGGAAAGGAGGGACAGTTGGGCAGCCGTGTAGTCGGCCCAGACAGGGGCGGCGTGTGAAATGGCGCCAACATAGTCGTAGTGGAGAATGACTTCCATGGCTAGAAGGGTGAAAACGAAGCGGACCGCATAGCGGGCTGTCCGGGGCCCTTCGATACTGGCAGAACGGTGCTTGAGCTGTGATATGAAGTCATTGAAGGTCATGATGGGCCCCACGAGGTAGAGGGGCGCATAGATGGTGTATGCAACGTAGTTCCGCCAGGTGAAGTCCAGGGGTTCAGCCGGGATGGCGATGCGGTCACGTTCGGAGAGATTGGAGGGGTCGAGTTGCTTCTTCTTGGGAATATCAGCATCACGGATAATACGGAACAGAGGAGTCTATGAGGCGGTTTATCGAAGCTTACCTCTTAAGCCGGGGCTTTCCACCTGCGGGGAAGTTCCAAAGGCTCCAAGTTAATTAGTTCCGAGGATTTGAAAGCTGATTGAAGGGCCGCCAAGGGATTGGTTGAAGGGTTGGAAAGAAGCACCCTCCCCCAAACGAAGGGGTTTTAAGGGCCCGCCCAATTAGGCTTGGTCCCAAAAGTTCGCCGCCCCCAATTTGTTCCGGAGGAAAAAGGGGCTTCCTGCCCGGCATTGGGGCATTCCGGCTGAAGACCAGGGAAGACAAAGGCTAGGCCAGGAGGACAGCCTTGAAAGTTGATTACCCCCTGGAAGTGATTCCCCTTGAAAAGGAAGTGTTGATGGATGTTTGATGATGTTGAAGGCCCACGTCGCCGTGGCACATGTTTCCTCGGCAGAGCCGTAGCAATCTTGTAATTGACATACAAAATGGCCAGCACTTTGAGCGCAGAGACGCCGTGAAGAACGGCGAGGAAGACCAGGGCGAAGATATAGTCGAAGCTCGCACGCTGCGTCAGTCGCGCAGCTCCCTGGCCGGCCGTTGACCTTCGGTGCAGTTCGTTTGATACGGGGAAAACCGAGTTCCAGGCTTTTCTAAGCAGCGGATGCACGACCAGAAGAGCGCTCATGGCAGGGAGGTTGGATCGGAAGAAGCTATATTGCTGGTCGGACACATCCTAAGGTTGTCAGCTGGTGGTCTCGTTGGGAAAGGCAATCATTACGGACAATCTTGCGCCCTGGAATCCAGCCATCAGAAAGCAACCTTTCATATTTGTGGTATCGAGGGTCGGTAGCTACGTGCGCAGGTCAGCACACACCATCAAAGCAGGAGTGGCCATCTTACGGCGCGAGACGTCGTATGCGATCCAGAACATCCACGGCACCACGACGGACAGCACGAGGTAGTAGAGGAGAAACTCTGGGGATCTCCATTTTGACGGCTGAGAGCGACTGTGGGCCTTGATTGGAGGTTCTCTGCCCAACGCGGGGTCGGCGCGCGCTTCGACGACAGTCTTGTACGGGACGGAGGAGGGGCTCGTGAAGCGAGTGTCGAGGGTGTCGAGGTCGTAGATGGACCGGAGGTAGGAGAAGATCGCCATGGGAGGCGACCTTGTGTTGGATTCGGAATTCTATATGAACTGATGCTTCTTCACCGCATCTTCGTGCAAAGCGGGCGCGCGGTCATGAAGGTCACTCGCACGATGTCGTCAAGATGTGGCCGAGATAATGTCGCGTGTTCGTGTTCAATTCGGGTCCAGGTCTAAGGGTCTTCCTGCTGCCCCCCCAAAAAGGCACCTACGTTCCTGGCGAGCTTAGACTGGCGGGGCGGGCGAACTGGTTTCAGGGGCCGATGCAAGGCTGTCAGGGAGGCCAGGCCTAGGATTCAGCCAGGCCAATGAGCGCTGTTTCGATGACAGTCCCCAGCATATGATCAGCGCCAAACCACAGCCTCATAAGCCTCGGCATCTCCGATACGTCAGATGGATGTCCTGTGGCGCGTGAGACAGGACACGCAAAGACGATGAAACCCAAATCATGAGTGAATCGGTGTGGTCAGTCATGAAATCGTGGTATTTCGTACACAGTATAGAGGTAATCGCTGCCAAGCTTAGCTCGTCCCTACCCATCAACCGGGCATCTGTACTCTCTAGAATGGCTTGCCTCAAGGCTCGTCCTATCCTTCTTGCCGCACTCTTCCTCTTGAGACTGCAAAGCATCCAGGCATGCTTGGTGATAAATGTGCCTACACGCCAAAACAACCAATGGCCCCAGAGGCTGTTCGCGCATGCTGTTTGCAGCGAGGTCCGCAGCGTCGTCGCCGTCATGAGAACCATCCTCTGATTTGTTTCCTGCGGCATCCTGGGCCAGCTCTGCGCCATTGCCTGGACCGATCTTGCCCTTACCCCGCGCTTCATGCGGAGGCAGTCCAGAATGCTCTGCCGCCCCCTTGCCTTTAGTCCTGTCCGTGATGCTTGCGAGCAGAGCCTTTCTCTCGGCCTGTTTCTGCTCTTCAGCAGCCTGCTTATCCTCCCAAGCTTCAAATACGTTACCTGATACACCTGGTCCCCAGACGCGCCGGCCGCACGCCTCGCATGTGGAGCCCTTCGGTCGCCAGCCTCGCTGTCTCAACTGTACCGACTGCTTGACATTGACGAACAGGCTTCGCTCGAGAAGTCGGTTCGATAATCGAAGAATCGACTCCTCGTATGCATAAGCTGAGAAAATCGAGGCCAGAACCGCCCTCAGATCCGCTAGATTTGGTGACGAGGCCGCGGCGTGAGCAAGAAACTCTCGCAATATCCGTAAGAATGACATGTTGTTGCCGGCGGTGGTGAGGACCCGTCCGTTGGCCTGGGCATTGGAAGCGCTGGACGTCGTCGTCAGGAGAGCGGTGAACGTGTGTTGGACCAGAGACCGCAGAAGCCCCAGCAGTTTGTCTGTATCGAGACGCTCCCAGCTTTCAAGATCGCGGTCCCCATCATCTTGCGCTTTTCCGACTGCATCGATGGTCGCCGACAGCTGTCGAGTAGTATGGACAGCCGCGTCTATGAGGCTGAGCCAGAGCGCCTCGGAAGATGAAAGCGTCTCGTTGGCAGCTTGCCGCTGCCCCCGCTGGGAGGCGGATGTGGTCTTCGCAGTTGACTTTGTTTGTCCCTGACAAAGCCAAATACCAACATGAACATACTTCTGGAGGGCCCCGAGAACTTCTTCTGCAGAATCTTGTAGACTGAGACGGTGTTCGCTGTCCTCCACACCCGTCAAGATACCTTGTAGAGCGGATTCGAGCGTCCCGAGATGTTTGACGAGTCTGTCCATAGCGTCCTTGACCTGGCCTTCGCGAGCCATGAGCGTCACAGCAGCATCTATTACGCCCGTGTCCTCCATGGTTGGTAGCAGGATGCTTAGTCTCAGGTTTGCAGATTGAATAACACTAATGTAGTCGGATACATGATCAGGGTCGAACTGACACATGAGTTGGACGTATCGCTCGAGGAGATCGCGCTCTGGATTAGCCACTAGTGCTTCCTGCCTGTCGTGACCGCCTGGCTCGAATAGCGTCTGGAGATACTCAAATTGCAGTCCGGCACATTTTTGTACAGAGTTCAAGATGTGGTGGTGGAGAATCAGAAGACTGGCTGCGAGTTGACCTTGCAGAGTTCCTCGGGGGTCAAGCTCGATGAGGTCTCGAGCATGCTCCACGGATCACATCTTCGACGTCTTGCAATTGTTTTAGTGTTCCAGGGCACTATGCGGCCCGAAAAACACTCGCTGATGCAGTCAAAGACTGCATGTCGTTCATCATGGTCTTCAAAATGAGTCTGAACCAGCATGCCATATTCCCTATCCGCCTTGTACTGTTGTTTCAAGATACGATAGAAACCGGCTTTCTTGAAGATTGGCAACAGATTGTTGGTGTCTGGAGGGTGATAGACTGACAATAGGTACTCGGCGCTGAGCTGAGCATCTTCGGCGAGATCCTCTCCAGGGTAGTTGCAGAGACCTGTGAGGATTCTCCTCAGGGTGGATCCAGGGAAAAGCAGATATTGGGGAAACTTAGGCAAGTTCCGGGCGATGAACATGTCAAGGTAGATGGTGTCTTCGGGGGCAAAGTCGCCAGGGTTCATAATCTCGAGAAGGATGGACACGATGTATTGCCGATCCACAGTCATCCCAAAGATCTGCTCTTCAGGCATATCCCCGTCAACGGTTCCGGTGTGTTTCTCCGGTGAGTTGTTCAAATATGAGTCCTCAAACGCTTCGTTGAGGGCACTCAAGAAACTCGGCGCATCGAATTTGAGGATGAGTCGAAGGTAGGGGAAAGAGGGCTCACTGGCTTGGGACGGTCTTGTAAGAAATCGGCGTTTGCTCCCTCTGGGCCATATAACGCTGTTGCCCGAAAATAGGAACCAGTAGAGCTCAGCTTTCGCCTTTGGTCCTGCTGTATCGTCCAAGTACTCCCCCGTCGGATAGACCCTCCCGGTTAGGGTGTATGAGAGATAGGGGAACATCTTGACAGCGTCGGCGCTGTATTGATCGTCCATGTCATCAGAGGATGGATATTCGCCATTGCCCATGAGGGGCACCAACAGACTCAGAAGGTCGACGAGAGGTGTGATATGGTCGCCGAGAGCTTGATTCCACACGTATATTAGAGCGTCATAGAGCCTGTGCTGTTTGCAGAGAAGAGTGACTTGGTCGAGATCCAGTGTGGTAGTTTCCATGTGGACGATCATCTCCTCGAGACGACTTTCCCATCCTCTGGTTACGAAATAGGTCACCATCGACTTGATGACGCCGGGGGGGGCAATAGTGATAGTCCTTTCGAGGATATGTGGCTCAAGTGTTTCGAGAAAAATGCCTTCTACACCGGCGTCTTCGTACCACTCGTACATCTCGTCAAAGAGAAAGTCAAGATCACCTACGCTTTGGCAAGCCACGAAGCAAATTTCGGCCAACTCCTGCAGGTGAGTTTCATCTACCACCATAGGATCTTTCTGTCGCTGGCTAAAGGCGTACTTCAGCGATGCGCTCATGATCTCCATCAACTTATCATGCACCATCGAATGTCGAAGAACTGTGTCTTCTGGGAGGCCGACTGTCAGCTTCTCAGCGTCGCCCGTGTAATACGAGGTTGCAAGGCGTATGGCAGCAATGTAGTCGCCTTTCTCCATGAGAGCAATCAGTCGGTCCGCCCAATTCGATAAAGACCCGATGGAAACGTCATTGAACCCAAGCAGGAAGAGACGTCCTTTGTATGCTTTGAAGCTCATGTAAAACGCATCTGCGACCACGCCATGCATCGAGGTGTCTCCTTCGTCGTGCTGCTCTACCAGGGAGTGAAGCTGCTTGGAGAAAAGGTCGACGTGGTAGATGTACTTATGAATGAGATCGAAGCCATCAGTCATACGCATGCTTCGATCCTCCAGTACGATGAGTTGTTGAGTGATGGTGAGGACTGTGAGAACGGAGCGACTGAGCCACTGAACAGCAACAATTGCCTCTTCGCACTTCCACCGGTTCCGCGACTTAAACATGAGAGCTGGTGGTTTGTCCTTGTTGTCCGAGGGAATCTCATCGACGTCGAGAATGGTCAGGACATTGGACCAGCAGTACACGAGCTTGACTTTCGAGATGTCGCTTCCTGTTGTATGATCTGGAACCTTAAGCTTGACAGCTGGAAACCATGCAAGACAGCCGGTCATGGCACTGTGTTGAGCAACATCTTTTGGTCGAGCCGATTTGTGTTGTGTCTGCGCGAGAGGTGTTGTAGAGACAATGACGAGCAAGTAAGGCGTCAGCATGGCCGTCAGGCCCACGCTATCCGTAGCTCTCTCCGTGTTCCCCAGTGGACAGGAGGCAAAGGCTAAAACGGTGCTGGGCCTCATCGCCTTTCCAACTGGCGTAGGCGCGTCCGGATATCGACCCAGAATCCTGGTTGTCTTTACAGTCCTTCCCAGAGCACCTGTACCCCTTGTCGCAAGATGCGAAAAGGCCATGCCCTTGTCATCAGCAGAAACCAGGGCGGTGTGCCTGGTGCCTAGAAACCCGAAGGTGGCGTGACGGCCACGTTGGGAACATGGCCGTCTTCCGTCCGATTTTGCATCTGGGACGGCTCGAGATGGGGAATCTGTAGAAAAGGCCTCGACGCCCTGCTGGTGTCCCATGTGAAGATGCTGCCATTGGCATGGCCTCCTGCAATCGTCGAGTGGTCCGCCGAAATTGCAATGGAGGTGATGGCACCAGATTCGACGGCCTTTGTCCCAGGCCCCAGAATGGTCTTGAGGTTCTGGTTATAGTCAAACATTAATATTATCCCTTTGCTCGTGCCGAGTACAATCGAGGCCGACACGGCGATGCAGGTTGGTATGCCAAAGTTTCGCTTCCCGGCTTCCGAAAACGCCTGACTGTTCATCTTCTTCAACTTTGTCCACCGGACAACCTCCCAAGGTGGTGTCTGGACCTCGGTATCATCTTTGCTAAATACGATCTGAGAGCTCAGGGAGGCGTTGCGGCTGTGTGTCGACAGGAACGCCGGTGAGGAAGGTCGCGGGCTCCCGGTGAAGCTAGAGGATAATCGCGATTGGAATCGTCGGTCAAAGGGCCTAAACGAAGGTGTCGGGCTACTAAGGCCAGGCCGTGAAGCGACAGAAGGAAGAACACTGCTTCCGGGGGAAGATACCCCTGAGCCCTGCAGCTCGTCAGCTCATACCCTCCCGCGCAGGATGGTCCAAACATACCGCAATGGATGGGGTGTCATCCGGCACTGAGAGAAGGGAATCTATAGGACTGCCTACCCGCCGTGGCAGGGCATCCACGGAGCCATCCTCCGATACATCATCTACTTGACCACGTAGTATCTGTCGGTATCGATTGGCCGTGATCCCAGTTTCCACGGGATTTGGTGGCTCTAACGCGTGGTTGAGCTGCGTATCTTGCTCTTCAGCAAGATGAAGGACAGCATCGTGGTTGGCGGCGCCAGTCGAATCCTCTTCGATAATCGACTGCGAAGTATCCGAGGAGGAGCTATCGTCGTTTTCGGCCATTGTCCGACCATGTCCCTCGTCACTCTCCGTTGGGGGTGGGCTCATCGATAGCAGAGCATTACGCGCGTATCATATCCTCTGAGAGTGTCGAAAGAGCTCAATGGAGCTCTGAGGTGCTGGGTCACCCGTTCGATGTCGGATGTCTGGGTATATAGCAATCGATTTCTGAGCTTTAAGTGAGGAATTTAAGCTGTGGTATCGCCCAATCGTTCTCTTGGTCAGACAACAGCCGGGTCGCAAGAGGAGGTGGTCGAGTGGAGGAAGCTTGAATCAGCCTGGAGTGCGCGGCGAGCCAAGTATCACGTCGCCTGGGAAGCTCCAACTGCCTAGAGGCACAGTTGCTTGGGGGGGGGGCCTCCACTGGCCAATGTTGTAACGGCCCGCGGTTCATCCGGCGGGCCTGAGCCTTGAAGTCAGGGGTGCCAAAGCCAAGTGGCTGCGCGATCTGCATAATTGTGCACCGTGCTCGCTGATCTCCACAAGGCTGCACCCAGTTCATTGATATCCGCTTCTCGAATGAGGATTGACCTCTCGATATGCGAGCTAGTCTATTTATCATGAGGCCGTTATATCTTTCACACAATTCATTGAGCTGCGGCTCCCTTATATTTAGTGTTGGATTGTCTTGGCGCTGTGAGACTGTATTGGTTGGCGATTGGTGGCAGACCTTGAAACTAGACGGAAGCTCAATGGCGTTGTCACGTATCTAAGAAACTCAACAATAATGAACCTTGGGTTTCGATACTTTGCAAGTTTTTTCTCATTTGGCAATATGTTCTTGGTATACCAGGGCTTTTATGCCTGATATCATAGATTTGGGCATTGTCAAGGGCACTGAAGGCCAGCTTGAGACGAAGAGTCCTAAAGTCGGCCGTATCAGAGGCAATAAGTCCAACATGTATCAACGGCTAGACTGTGGATTTCCCAGGTTGATACAAAAATAGACTCTGGGCACCGAGAGCTGTCCTCCCATGCATAGATGCCAACGGTGATGCTGGTCTTCTTGATGATGATCCGGATGATCATGTCTTTAAGAAGACAGAAGTGAGCACGCTCAACTATCTCCTGTTACCTTCTTGGGGAGCGCGGATCTATAACTCAACTTGCCTTGCGCATCGGCTCGGGAGTGAATCGTGTTTCATTTCACGCAGCATGGCAGACAATCCTGCTTCCCAGACCTCCAGACTTTTGTACTGAATACCAAGTCCTAAGGACCTGTAATAACAGACGCCAGACAGTGACATTGGGGTAATTGACCCACATGTCCGATTCGTCACGCATAGTGCATTCGCTACCACATTAGTCAGGTCAGGAATCGCAAAGCAATCAACCCCCCCGTCACAGGCAAGCTTCACAGGAGGATCCCACTGACGGCCAACAGTTCACTCCTTCAGACCATCCAACAAGGATACGAAAAGCGACTTTGAGCTACCCGTACAGCCGCTCAATCCACCAAGACGAGCACTTGTCCCAGCAGTATAAGCTTCGCAATGACTTCAATCGGCCCCCAGATGCCGCCCAGCCCATCGAAGCGCAAGCGCACCCCCGACAACCAAGAAGACGATTCACCACCAACAAAGCAAGCACGCAACACAGACGAGATTGATATCAATGACGACGACTCCTCAGACGACGGCTTCGGGCCGAGCGCTCCAGCAGCGCAAGGTGCCTCTGCGCCCAAGACGGCCGCCGGCCCCTCCGTCCCACCGACCGCCAAGACGAACACAGACGAGATAGACCTCGATGCTTCAGACAACGACGACGACGACGACGACTACGGGCCCTCCGCATCCTCAGCAGCCGCCACTGCATCCGCCAGCAAGCCCTCAATAGGCCCCTCACTCCCCTCAAAACGCACAATCGGCCCCGCCCTGCCGCCACCAGCAGACTCGCTGACCGCAGAATCGCCGACCGTCCACGCCCCCGGCGCCGACTCGGACGCCTCCGACTCGGAAGACGACTACGCACCCGCCTTGCCAGGCTCAAAAGCAGCGCAAGCCCACTTGGCTGCACAGTCCCGCGCTGCCGCCCTCGCAGCCCTCGAACCCGCTGCCGCCCCAGCGGCGCCCCAGCGCGACGACTGGATGCTCGCTCCGCCGCCCGCCGCGGCGGGCTACAGCGAGCGCGACCCCTCCAAGCTCAAGAACCGGCGCTTCGCGTCCAACAAGCCGCACGCCTCGGCGCCGGCGGGCGGTCCCGCTGAGATCAGCAGCATCTGGACCGAGACGCCGGAGCAGAAGCGCAAGCGCCTCGAGGACGCCGTGCTCGGGCGCACCGCGCCGGCGGGATCGGAGCTCGAGAGACAGGGCGCATCCGCCGCTGGTGCAGCGGCGCGTCCGAGCAAGGAGCAAGAGCGCGCGAGGCGGACGGCGGAGAATCTCGAGGCTGTCAGGGGGAAGAGCCTGTACGAGACACACGCCACGGCGCGCAAGGAGGGCGGGAGGCGGAAGGGCGAGGAGGAGGAGGATGACCCCAGCGCGCGAGCCTTTGATCGCGAGAAGGACATGGCGCTAGGGGGCAGCATAAACAGCACGCAACGCCGGGAGCTACTGGGCAAGGCCAAGGACTTTGGGGGCCGTTTCCAGAAGGGGTCGTTCCTTTAATCGTATCTGCTGGCATTGCGTAATAGGCCAGGCCTTCAAACCATGATGCATCTCAATTAACAAGATCCATGGCGCTCGTAACAACTATCCCAAGGACCGTCACCCAGCAAATTGAGATTCAAGTTTGTTGATGAGTGATTTCGTCTAGCTAATCGTTATCACATGTGATACAGCGAGAATGCATATGTCGCCGTAACTCCGCCGCTTTTCCCCTGAGATCCAGAGAAAAATTGACATTCCAACTCGCTCCCATCCTCCCCCGCGTCGATGCTGTGCCTAAACTGCCTTAAAGCAGTATGAATCTCTCCTCCTAGCCCTCCTTGAGATTCCCTGATGCAAAATCAAAAATCAAAGTAAACAAACTCCTGAGACGCGATATATAGGTTTGGGGTGTCGTGGGGTATTTCGAATATGCAGCATCAAAGATGTGTCATAGTGAGCTTCCGATTCTGTAGTCGAAAGTGAGAGAACACGCCGAGACCAGCGAGGCCACGGATGTGTGAGAGATGGTAAATGTACAGAAATGGTTCAAGATGAGCAGTTCTACGGGTCTGCCGATTCTCGTGCAAAAGCCTGTAGCACTGCTCACCGCACCACTTCAGTGTTTGGCACAGGCGCTGCACGCGTACCAGCCTCCAGCTGCGACGGGGTCACAGCCTCGCCGGAAGCTGTCACCTCTTCAGCTTGACTGGACGCAGTATTGTTACTGTCACCGTTTCTGTTTCTCCTCCAGAACCTCAAGTTGGAGAACCCCTGCCGCGCACCTGATACGGCGGGAGCCGCGGCTGGTCGGGTCACCTCTGCGGTGACGGGAGGTTGAGTGACGGTAGCAACTTCCGCAATCGGCGCAGCTGTAGCCTCCTGGCCCGTTTGGCGACGGTTGCGATTGCCACGTGCATTACGGCTTCTCGAATCATTGGGCATGAATCCTCCGATACGGCCACCGAAACCTCCCAGGCGAGATCCACGTAGGTTATACCATGCAGCCGGGGGTGCGTTGGGCATGTTCATACGTGCGTTGGCATTCGCATTGTTGGGATCTGCCTCACCAGGCGGGGGGCGTGGCTTTGGCGTGTAGTAGTCGGCCTTGCACAGGGGACAGCATGCACGTCGACTTGTCAACCAGGGATCAACGCAGACGGCATGAAGGCATGACCACAGGTCAGGCCTCGAACATCATCGTCATCTTCTAGGCTGTCATGCAAATGGCGCACGTATCACCGCTCGAGAAAGCAGTTCAGGTGGCACGGCAGCATTGATGTGCTCGTCGTCTTCGTCGTCCTCCTCACTGGGACTCGTTGCAGTGGGGGGCCAGCGCGGTTGAGCAGGGTGCCAGAAGTCTGACCGACGTTCCCATCTATATCGTTCGGTGGGGGTAGCCTTTCTTTTCATCGGAGAGCGTTTCGTGCCGCTGCAGGTTGGTAGCAGGCTGGAACATCGCGATGCGGTCCCTTGGAAGATCCCTCAGGAGCGACACGGGGAACAATACCCTGGACAGATCGAACACTGCCCGCACGGCTTGGAGGAGCTGACACGCCTCCAGCGGTGGGCAAACCTTCCTTAGCGCGCTCAAGTACCCAGCTTTTGTACTTCATCATGGGGAACTTCTCGTTCACCTCCTCCATAGTCATCAACTTCTTCTCGCGACGACGGCGGTGCGGGCGAGGCATGTTTTCGAGGGTAATGGGCTCGCCGTCTTCATTCAGGCGCATCTGTCGGTTGCGAGCGTTGTACCGGAAGCAGTATTTTACACCAACGATGATCCTGAGCACTACCGCGTTAGTATTTGTTTCTCGAGGGAAACATATTTGACTGCGGCGCGATGTAGAGTTCACGCTTGAAGAGCAGATCACAAGGTTTAAACTGACCAGAGGTTGGTAAACACAACGCCAAAGCCCAGCGCCACGAAGAATAGCAGTGGGGAGCTGGCGCCGCCGCCTCCACCGCCACCCCCGTTCCCTTCAGACTGCGAGGGGCCGGCTGGGCCCTGCGAGGTTCGGTCGGGCGTCGGTGATGATGTCGACGAGGCTGAGGTCGTTGTGGATATCACCTCGTTAATGGCAGACGAGGCAGAAGTGGCGGCCTGGCGGGCGACGAGGCCGAGTATGTCGTTGGCAACGGCAGCCATTCTGATTCAACGAGAGGGACTAAGTGTATCGGCCAGAGGGCGTCCTTGTCATCGACAGGCGGGAGGTCTCAGGCGGAAATGGCTGTCGGAGCCCGTGGAAGGCGTCCCAGCATTCGTACGTCCGAGAAACCTTAGATGCCGTTGCTGTTGAAGGGTGAGGATTGTGATCAGAGGGCTTCAATCCTGCGCTCCACCATGTAGCCTCAGTCCTCCTCCGCTAGAGTGTATCGGGCGAAGGGATGATCGGCCTGTTGTCCCTACGTGCCTCGATCGATTGATGGTATTGGGACGATGAATGAGGGAAAAATGAACGGAGGGGGGTTGGCGAGACCGGCAACGGCAATGTGGTGTGGAAATGGGTGTAGCCGGTGGAGAGGGCGCCTGTTTCAACGTCCGGGGCGGACTGGCTCGATGTAGTGGGAAGGTCACGAAGGACTGGAAGGCGATGCAGGTCGTGGCGAGTGTGGGCGAGCAGCGGATAAAGAGGGAAAGTCGGGGGAAGACCAGCCCGGGCAGGCCTACGTGAGACGTGAGAATGGCGACTCGCTCTTTCCCTGGTCCGGGGGGTCCTGCCGCGTTGCTTGGGCACTGTGCTGCTGGGATTTCTCAGACAGACTAGCTTCTTCTGGGCGGGCTTGGGGTGTGGCACCCTGTTCCTTGGCGGGCTTTAAAGACTGCTCTGTCTTTTGCGCAGCATTACATGTACCTGTAGCAGCGTAGCTGTCTTGATAGGCGAGGTACTTGACAGCCAGCAGCGGGTGACTGGCGAGGCTATGAGCAATTGGCGGCTGGGGGTCGTGATGAAGTGGTGTGCAATTGATTTGAGTTGCTGGAACCAACGGTCTAGCCGCGCCATCGTCTACACCACATTAGCTACCTACATGCCTTCCTGCCCATCAAATCACTTCGCCTGCCCTGACCAGCTGGCGATCTGCCACGAAGCGAAATTTAGCGATCAGGTCCTCCTTTCTTGTCTTTGTTGATGATTGACCCTTCAGTGCACCGACGTAACGAGCAATCAAGGTGAGAGGGGCCAGGTCGTGTCTCTCTGCCCCTGTTTTGAGACACGGCCAGGTCAATCCAGGGGCTATGAGCAATCCACACGGAGACCCAGATAACTAAGCTTCATACTGTCAGAAATTCAATGGCTCGACTTTTTCTCATCCATCGCATGCGTACCAGCCTGTCGGGACTTCCGTACTCCTGACGAATTTCTAGTACCTGTCGCCTTTTTGTAGCATCTTTTTCATGCATCATAGTACGGCACAGCTCCCCATGGCGCAGGGTCGGGCCCCTTTTAGGCGCTGACGGTCCCAGATCAGAGCACTGACTGCTGAAGACCGGACCGGCGTTGGCGTGACACAACCCACCTTGCGAGCACAAGATAAGAGGAATTGTTGTTGTCATTAGTCCGATTCTAAGCCTTGACATCGCGGCCGAAAACAGAGAATCGGTCTTTGCGATGCATCCACAATCACGGCGTTACTGCTTTCCAATGGAGGTGTGGCACATGTTGGCGGCGGCGCGATTCAGATCGCCCACACGAGTCGCCGGTGCGACCCTGCAGAATGCCGTCGAAGAACAGATCGAGTTGGCGCCCTCAACCAAAGCAGGAACAGAAGGTCGGACAGGCCGGAATATGTACCATGTATCCCCCTCATTCAGGACGGCCCGAAGCTGTCGCCGGTATGCCCTCCCCCCAGTCCCCTCGTCCCGACACGCACCGAACAGGCAAGCGGCACAGACGCAGTTGCATCGAAACCCCTCACATCCACCTCCACATCGACCCTTTCCTACACGCCATCCCCGTATTCTGGCTCGGGTCCAGACCTGCGGCTCGCGGATGGTGTTCAAGCGGCTTCAGCTTCCTATGTGGCACACTGGCTTGTACGCTGGAATGATCAGGCGTCGAGGCCCCTAGGCGCCTCGGCTGGAGATCCCTTGATCCCGCAATTGACGCAGGCGTGGCCGGGTAAACTCTCTTTCTTACTGGGCGCGGCACAGAGCGTTTCTTACTTTCGTTCTATCGTCGTGCACGAGTTGGAGAAAGTCAAAGGCCTGCCTCAGCCGTCGGCGCCGGGCTGAGGCTTTCCTGTGCGCAATGTATTGATTCAAGATGGTCGGCTGGTAGGGCTCGCTCGCAGCTGTACCGTTCGCAACCAAGTCTGACCTTCAGCTCGGAGCCAACGTGCCGCCACACCAAGTCGTTCCTTGGGTCGGCTGCTGCAGCTGCAGCTGTTTCAGTGCGACAAACAAAGGCGAGGCTCAGCCAATACATGGCGCCGTACCACAACTTTCTGGTATTTCCTGTTGCGGTCGCCGCTAGCTGTGTCTTGGTGATTGGCAGATGACATTTTCTCCATGGGCAAGGTCAGCGGTAATGCTAGCTAGGTAACCTTGATGCGCGCGCGGCCCTCGGTGTCCTTGGCAGCCGTTACTACCTCAGGGACCGGTTAGGTTGGCCTTGAACCTGCGTGTCAAAGTCATATCGTCCGTTTCTGGCATATGACCGGCTCAGCCTCGTCCCGACTGCCAGCAAGAAAAGACTAAATGATGGATACAGTTGAAGCCGATGATTTTGCAAGGATGTGTGAATCAGGATCTGGGGGTGAGGAGGGTACGGATGGGACAACAAGGGCCCTCCTTCTTCCCAGACGAACAACAGTGTGAGGCGCTAGACATTCCGACGGTGCTGCGGTGCAGTGGGTGCATCTTTCCCCGGAGATCCGCGTGGACTCGTCAGCATCGTGGCTGGCCAATGCCACAGGTCCTGCTTTTGACCACTCAGCGCCCATCGTTGTGCTGTGCTCGCGAGTCGTTGCATCAGCATCTCACGGATGACCTCAAGCCAAGCCTTGACAAGCTCTTTTTTCCCCTAAAGCTCTGCTATCCAAGAACCGGCCTCACTCGAGAGATCTTTTCTGGTCTTTGGATGGGGCTCCAAGGAATCTCGTGCAAGCCAGAGCATCGCAATGTCAAAGAGGCTTGAAGAGACACTGCACCTTCAATCAAACAACCGCATGAATGAGCCCCTTCTCATGGCGATCCTCCACATTTAGACCCTCGTCATTAATGCGACATCAGCCCCTCCGTCCTGAGCGCCGCTCCCCGGTCCTCCCGGGTCAGAGCATGCGAGGATGTCAACATCGCTCCGGCAATAGCACCTTCGAGCTCCCATCTGTTTCTGTAGGGCGTCGCTTGCCGGTTGCTGCCGATGCACTAAGACCACCACATCAGCAGGCTGGTTCCGCGCTGATACGCTCACAGCCGTAGAGATAATTATGGTGTCTGAATGGACGATTCATGACACGAGCTAAGCCATGATGCGCTCGCACAGGCCGATCCTTCACCGAAGACCACGGCTCCATCGGCAAACGTCTGACGGCATTACTCTACCACCCTTCCACTCCACTCCACCACCGATCTCGGCACTCCATCCATTCCGCACCGCACCGCACCATCCGGAACGCCGTTACATCGTGGTGTACACCATCCAAAATCTGGCCTCGACGATCAGGACATGACCAGTTGATGCTTTACCTACCTTATGGTGTGGCTGCTCATCTGCCAATAACCTCCCTCAACTTGGATCAAAGCTCTCCTCCCGCCTGGTCGTTCCTGTGCGGCGAGTCAGGTCCTTCGAGCTCACCTTCATGATGTCAGATCCGGAGTCCTGATCTTCCTCCTGCGAATGCGTGACTTCACTATTTGGAATGGCTTGGCTGTCGCTAACTGGTCAAGTCTCCAGCATAGAATATCCAGCGCGATGGTGGGTGCTGTGTTCTGGGTACAGTGAGGTGGCAAGGCTGGTCGGGCGAGTATGCGGCGTGAGGTGGCGATACGTCCGCGGCATGCAAATGCAACTCTGCATCCCACTGCCGGCCTATCGACTGACGTGATAGCGACCCCGCGATACGGCAGGATTGTCTCGGGGAATTGGACCCTGGCCGAGAGATTCGCATATCGGGCTTAAAGTCTGGAAATGATCAGCGATCAGTAACTAACCCAAAATTCCAGAGATATGCCCACTGTTCCGATGACCTCATGGAGCAAACACACCTGTAACTCGCATCTCGATATATAATAGGGTCCGGGTGCGCGAGAAGTTCAATCATTAGGCCCGGCGTAACACTACATATTGGCGAGGCATCACAGCCTTCCATGTGGTATCATCATGGCTCGTCAAAGTGCAGGATTTAGCTCGGTGTGGACAACTGGCACGTCACCTACTGACCGACAACTGCAAGGACATTATGCATAATGGATAGCAGTCCCTCCTGTACAGCAAGCCCTGAGCCTGTTTACAGTTGGACTACATCAATCTCCTTTGCGAGTTCTCCATGTTAACGAAGCCCGAGGGACACGGGGACTCCCTTTCACTTCATGTGAGAACTGGCGCGTATGGGAGACTCTGGAGACTAGACCGGCCGTACACTCCAGTGTTACATTTCTATATCAGCCGCAACCTCGAAAAGGTGTGGTTTTACCGCGACTCCGTTCTTGTTCTTGAGCTCATACGAGCAACAATATTGAAAGCTAGAAGTTCCACCCGAAAGGCCAGTTCCGACTTCTCTTTCACCAAGTATGAAACAGCACTTGCTGCCGTCCTTCTCCCGGGCAGTCATACCGAAATGGTTCCTATCGATGCACTTCTGTACTGGAAAAGAAATTGACGCAAAAGAAGTATTATGCATCAGCTCACAACGTCAGTGCAAGCATGCCATGGTGTTGGGGCACATACCATGCCCGCAGGCATATCCGTTGAAAAGCGAGGACACTCCGACAGCTGATTGATTTGAACATATCTCATCCTTCCCAGCCTGCTCATCGTGTCTCTGGGTCTAGTGACCGACAGCCAAGGAGGAGCTGATAAACATGAAGCCACCCATCAGATGCCCAGGATATGTCGTGCGTGCACGGGCCAACAAGTCACTGCCCCGCAGAACTTCTATTTGGGAAGACCTCAATTGAGATATGGGTCACGGAAGACTTCAAGTAGTTCCCTTCCACACTCACTCACACATGATACCCAATCTCGCACGTCCCACTGTTACATCTCAATTCTGGTCGTAAAGATCATCGCGACTCCTCCATTCAGTCAGGACACGTCACCAACCGCGCAACTCCACATCATCCACATCCACCACACAATGCCGCCTACTCAGCTCCCCGCCTCCGGAAATCCTCTGTAAGAAGCTATCACGACATCCCCCCTCCCTGGTCCCCTTTCCCCCAGCAGAAACACCCCGCTTTCCCCTCCTGCCGAGCCTCTGTGGTGGCGGAGCTCCCACACCCCGATCCAAGTGACAGGCCTCTGCAGCATCTGCTGACTTGTCAGAGCTCCGAGCTAACACCCACTGCGCCGATAGGGTCTTCTTTGATATCACCCTTGGTGGTATGTCTTCCTCTTCCTCGGCTCCAAGATGCGATGGTGTCCGTAGTCTTATCTCCATCGACCGGGCATCCGACGATACCGTTCCCCGGCCCTCACCGCTCGCTTCCGGTCTTCCCGGTCCCCCCTCCCCCTGCTGTCCCTCCCGTCATGCGTGTGCAAGTGCCTTCCCCGGACTCCACCCCTCCAAGCTGACATGAACAACCCCTCGGTCCAGGCGAGCCCCTCGGCCGCATCACGTTTGAGCTCTTCGCCGACACGACGCCCAAGACGGCCGAGAACTTCCGCCAGTTCTGCACCGGCGAGCACCGCCTCCACAACCGACCGCAGGGCTACAAGGGCTCCAAGTTCCACCGCATCATCCCGGGCTTCATGTGCCAGGGCGGCGACTTTCTCACGGCGACGGCACGGGCTCGACCTGCATCTACGGCACCTCGTCCTTCGCCGACGAGAACTTCTCCATCAAGCACGACGTGCCCGGCCTGCTGAGCATGGCCAACGCCGGCAAGGACACCAATGGCAGCCAGTTCTTCATCACGACGGTGCCGACGCCGTTTCTCGACGGTAAGCATACCGTCTTTGGCAAGGTCGTCGACGGCATGGACGTCGTCAAGAAGATGGAGGCCACGAAGACGGGGTACCGCGGGAAGGACGTGCCGAATATGGATGTCGTTGTCGCCCAGTGCGGTGAGATGTAGACCGTGTCGCATGTGTGGGGTCGCCTGAGCCAGATTACGTGGTAGATGCGGGAGAACTCTCATGATCCGGCATCAGAAGGTTGCTTAGGGCTGTCTGTTCGTTTTGGCAAGGAGAGCATATCTGACACACCAAGTAGAACAATGTGTTGCTGAATGCTGTCATCGTGATCCAGCACAGTCTTGTGACTAGATACGTCAACTAGGAGGATCACGACGGTGACTCCGCGGACGGGGATGATTATGTGATTGCAACTAACACCCACCAAGGAGTCGCAAGGGGGGCGCCTATGCAGCTGGGCCTCATTCCGCAAAGAGCTGCTTGTCTCGTGGAACAAACGTATTCTCCTCTTGTTCATTCTTCCACTTCCCTCAACCAAAGCCAACTACGTGACTCAAATAAAGGACGACACCTTCACGTGACACATCATGCATAAATCCACAGACAAACCAGCAGGTTGATGCAATGAATGCCAGCAACAGGTGAAGGGAGAGACCGGCATTGTTGGTGGCGAAGAGTCAGCATAGCCCCGAGTATCAATGCATCACCAGACGTGTCACACGGAGAACATAACGTGGTTTTTGTTCGCGATTGAACTATCTACGAACTGCGCGACTTTTCTGTCCCAAATCCGCCTTGCATGGGAACCAGCCTTTATCAATACCGACGCAAATCCCTTCTACCAGGGACGCAAACGCAAGACACAAAACACACCTTGTCATGCCCTCTTCCGATCCAAGGCCAGAACCAACAAGGGCCTGCACTTTCCTTGCGTCGAGACCATCTGCTAAAAGAGAGAACTCTTGACCAAAGATAGGCAAAGCCAATCCTGCCACCAAGCCATTGACCAACCTCGGGCTGACGCCATGCGAATAAAGAAGAAATCGTCAAGACAAAAGAAAGGCAAACAAAAAAAGGCAAACCTTCGTCGTATCTCGGAGGAAATGAACCGAAAGACAAGCGAATGTGGGGGTATCTCTCCTCTAAAAGAAACCGGGGGCTCACCGGCCCCGAACGCCTTAACCTTTCTGTCTTGGGTCATAACCCTGTCGACCATGCCGGACCGAAATGCTGTTGTGTCCCCCCCCCCCTCCGTTCTATTGCTTCATGACTGCCATGCTTGATTCATCGCACTGAATGCCCGCATCCTTTTCCTTGGAGAAATGAAACCTTATAACGCCTGTCAAAGGAAGACCCTTGGTATTTTGCACGAGAATGAGTTGGCGAGCCAAGACAAGCAAACAAGACGGTGGCCCTTATCTGTTGGTGCCAAACCCCCACGAGGCTCGGCCACGGAGGTTATGGCGCGGCATGAAGGGCGTGACAGTTGGAGGACCGCCAGCGTTGCCAGCACCAGCCGTGACAGTGGCCGTGGCATAGACTGTGGTCGGCTCCGCGGTGACGGTGACAGTACGAATGCCGCCGACAGGCGTGGTGGTCGGGATGTCAGTGCCAGCGCTGGGTGAAGCAGTAGGAACACCCTGCTCAGGGCCACCACCAATGCCGTCAATGGCGACAATGAAGGGGTTCTTCCAGCTGGCCAGCAATAGCGATGCCGTTGTAGTCGGCGGGGTTGGTGATGAAGTCATCATCCTTGACACGGACGCCCTGGCCGAGACCACTGCTTGCAAAAGGGGCAGAACTGCCACTGTCGTTTCCAGCCTGCTGGAAGATTGTCTCGCCTTCAATGTTGATCATGGCACACGAGCTGTAAATCTGGGCGACTTTGACATGATCACCTTCCAGGTCCTTGCGGCCGGCAGGAGCTCCGCCCTTGGGGTAGACGGCGTGGATATCGCTCACGACGACCTCTTTGTCCTCGGTGTCGAGCCTGGGCCAGTTCCAAACCCAGTAGAGGGTGTACTGGGTGCCCTGGGGAAGATCCTTGGCGAGGCTGACATCGCTCTGGCACCAGTTGTTGGGACCAGTCAGCTCGTTGGTTTGGACAGGGAACTCGTTCTGGCGCCTTCCCGAGAGATCGAAGCCGTTGGCCTCGTAACAGCGACCATCGTCATACTTGCGAGTTGCGAGAAGCTTTCCGCGCCCGTCACCGCCCTTGCCGTCAGGGGTCCACTTGAGGTGAATGTTGGCCAGGGTATCATCAGGACGCGGGTCGGTCGTTCCGTAGATGTAAACGACACCGCCATGGTCAAGTCGACCGGGTTCGAGGTTGGTGACGTGGCCATTCTCAAGGTAGCGAACGGCAATCTGATCGCCAGGAGCAGCGGTCAGGATGGGGAAGTTGGGGTCCTGAGGAGCAGTGACAGGCTGCTTGCAAAGAGGTAGGCCAGCTCCGGAGACGTCGTTTGTGACAGTGACATCTGAGAAGCCAGCGCCACGGCCAGAAAAGCCGGCGGCAAAGCCGGCGGGCTCGACCATGGTGCCATTAGAGGCGATGCGGTTGAGACGCTCGACCCAGGAGTGAGAATTGGCAAGCTGGGGTCCGAAAAGGATGGCAGCCAGCAGAGCACCAGTCTTTCCAAGAGCTTTGATGGCGACCATGGCAGCGATTCAGGTGTGTCTTGAAATGCTGTACTTGTTGTCTGATGAGATAAAATGGTTAGCGTATGATTCTCGTTGAAATTGTTTTGCTTTGTTGGGATGGTCAAGAGCCAGCGAGATGAGAACGGCGATATAAGTAGGAAAATGCCTAGAGTGAAGCAGTCACAGTGTCCTGAAAACCCGAGGCTGGTCCAAGATCAAGATGTCCAGACAGCGTGATTGTCCAGTGTTGAGATGCCAGCCACGACCACTTGACCAGTCAAGGAAGGAGCAGGGACTTCAAGTATGCCCAACCCGATGGCACCAGCACACCCAAACGGAAGAGAGTTGTGAGTGGGGGTGAGAAAGGCATGAAAAAAACAGGGTAATATGAGAATAGTAGCCTTGGATGACTGGCTCTGATGCTGAGACGGTCTGACTGTTGAAACAAGGAATGGCGCCGAGCCAAAGCGAACAAAATGCACAGCAAGTTGCAAGACAAGAAAGATAAAGAACAAACCTTTTACGGGCAGCTTTCGTGCTGTATTCCGTATCGTCTTCCGTGACGTTTGATGGGAATGATGGGATGGCGATATAGAGTAGGCGTGCGTGCGGTTGTCTTGGTGGCGGCGCGGATGGGTGAGAAAGGGTTGAAGATCGTTTTGTTTCAGTGGTTGCCCGCGACGATATGGGGATAATAAAACTTATGGGAGACCGCAGGCGGCAATGAACCGGTCGAGTGGTGATTCAGAGCTGAGAGAGGGCAAGGGCGCGCGTTGGAATCACGGCAGACTAGGCATTCACCGTTGTCGTCGAGGCAAATAACGTTGTTCGGAAGGAGTGGACTTTTCGCACGGTCGTTGAGATGCCAAAGAATCCGAGCAGCTTTTCTCGAGGAGAAACAGTCCCAGCCAAAGTGTGAAAGGCCAAAGGAAAGAGGCCTGACCAGCAGAAACCCTGGTATAGAAAGGAATGTAGCACAAAGCTGGAGTCTGCAGATGAGGACGAAAGGGAAGCAGGCGGATGGACCGAGTTGGTATCGGGCCGTGTAGGTCTTATTAGCTGCATCGGATGGGCTACAGGACGGCTACATCCATGGCCTTTCGGATGGGCCATGGATGGGCCATGGAGTCGAGTTCACGTCATGTTGCCCAAGGCAAGGGGGTGACTGGCCATGGGATGTCGAGGAGCATAGAGACGAGACGACGCAAGACGGAGAAACGAAACGCCCAGAATCACCGCCTCCTCTCCACGTCTCTAGCATCTCGAGGCGGCCATCTCCTACCAAGCGCAGGTCAGGTAGGCCACACTGTTCGACCCAAAGATCCATGGCCATCAAGGGAACAAGGGAGGGATGAGAGCGGGAGCGGAAACAAGCAGCAGCCAGGGGGCACGGTCTAGATTGAAGAGATTGATCGGCGCCGACAACGAGAGCCAGTGAACGTGATCGAGAAGGCCGACTTGGGTTGAAGGACCAGGTTTCTGGGTGGGCTCTCGAGAACCAGTCATGGAACCATGTCGAAGTCTGTTCAGCCGAAGCGAGCGAAGCCCGGCGTAGGCAAATGGATATTTCGGTACGCCAAGGATGTTTGCAGTGTACGGCAGACCGAGCACCCACGACAGTGCTAGGACACTGCATGCCGACTCGACGCTGTGCTCATCAGGAATAGAACGCTGGTGCCGTACCAAGGACGATGTGGACGTCAAGTTGAATCGTCTCGCGTGTGGCGTTGATGGACGCAAGGATCTGGCACAGACGGTGGGGTCGGTCCTGGAGTCTTGCCAGTCCTAAAATGGCACCTGCGCTAACCGCCCAAAGTACCTAGCAGGGGGCCAGATGAGAGACGTGTACCTGGCAACCACTGCCCGCGGGTGGGGAGATACCTCTGTTGGATCCCGTGCGCCGATCCGGAACAGGGGCCTGCAACAGCTTGGACGGGCGCTACTTGTCGACACAGGGCAGCCAGTGCTTCCTGCCGCGGGGACGCCAGTCGGGACCAAGCGAGCCACAGCACCTGCCTGTCCTCGCCGTTTACTGGTCGCTGTTGACTGCTCGTGCCCCCTGTGCCTGCCTGCCCCGAGCAGCCCCTGCTCCTACGAAGCAGGTACCAGGCACAGGCAGTGGTGGGCAGCTTTCCTTTTGGCGAGCCCCCGGAGCACAGCAACCTCCCCACCACTCCAGGCGGCCACTCTCCCCCAATCCGACCCTCGCGACAGCTTCATCTCTCTTCATCTCCCTTGCCGCGCTGCAACGCGCCAGACCTGACTGCCGGCCACCCTTCGACTGGTTGCTGACACGCCCAACAGCCGCTGCACAGCCCCGGGCCCAGAACAAGCAATAGGCGCGCCTCGAGATGATGCTTACACTACCTACCTGCCTTGCCTTGCCTTGCTCGGCCTGGTCTGGTCTGGTCGTGCCATCGCATGACCCGTCCCATCCGCGTTGCCGCCCTATGCCGCCGGCCAGCCGTCAAGAATCATGTTCTTCGCCTCAAAGACATTCTGCCTGCATCTCAACGCGTCGTGTGCCACACAACCTTCCAGCCCTTCCAGACGTGTGGTGTTTCACCCTGCATTCTCTTCCATGGATTCGGACCCGGACCTCCTGACGAACTTTGCCTTCCGTGTGTGAAACATCTTTCGACCCACGGCACTGGCCCTGCTCCACGCCTTGTCCGATGCTGTCAATCTGCCGCTTATCGGCAAAAAGGAAAATACCTCTGCTTTTACCTTCTTCAGCAGATGAAGTTCCCCGGTTTCATCCCAACTCTGCACGCGACACTCATTGACGGGCCACTGAAGGACCAAAGCACTAAGGGAATCGCCCGACACATCCTGGACGGCACAGAGACGATGGTGACACCAGATCAGATCGTCCAGGGGCAACACCATGACTAGGATCTAAGCGTTTCGCTCTTCACATACGGCAATCGTGAGCATGTATCTGCCATTACTACAAATGTGGTATCAATATCCAGAAGAGAAAGGTCATCCCAGCAAACAAAGCCCCCTTGAACCAAAACCCCAATAACGAACATCCATCTCTTTCCTTTCCGTGTTTCGCCAATGTCCCCAAAGTGCTGTTGTCACCCTCCCTCAACGCCGAATGCCTGTGCGCCGTTCCCAAATAATCCTTTTCAAAGACCAATGACCCCGGTACCCTGAATCACCAAGTCCAAGCAAACACATCTATATCGCTCACCCCTACTCCCAACGGTGGTGGGCGTGACTGCCATCATCATACCCCGCTGGTCCCGTGCCGTGGTGTACAAGCTTCTGAATGGCCGTCGCGGGGAAGTTCTCGCGGTTCTCCATGTCGAGACTATTAGATCGCGCTCGCTTGCGTCCTGCCATGCTCTTGAGGGGGCTGATCTGATCCAGGGAAGGCAACACGCGTTGGTCGACGGAGGACCATCCCGTACGGCCATCGGCCCCCGTGACTGCAGCCGCCGCAGACACGGCTTGAGCCCAGCCCTGTTGATTCCAGAGTTGGCTGTTGTCCTTGCTACCATTCGGGTCGATCGACCAATTGGCGCGAGCACTGCGTTGGTTCTCGCTCTGCCAGTGCTGTTGTTGAGACTGCGGTGCCGGCGCGGACTTGTTGGCTTCCGCGTTAGAATCCCACCCGCTCCACTGATCAAGGCTTGGAAGGCCGTTGTATCCCACGCCTGCAGTGTCGCGCAGTCGGCATCATCGTA